GGCCGTGCAGTGGGAGCTCGGAAGGTTTTAAGCAGGGGAATTACAGGATGTGATTTTCCTTTTGAAACGATTGTTCTGGCTGCTGCTAGGAGTGGGCGAGGTTGTTGGAAGAGCAGAAAGAGATGGACTGTGTGGAGGCCGTGGTGGTCCCGGCAAGAGCAGGTCACCCAAATAGGACTGTGGTAGGAGTCTTGTTACTGTTGTGGGTTGAGTTTTGACCCCTACAAGTCCTGTCCCTATCGTCCAGTTCCCAGAATAGAACCTTATTTGAATATCAGGTCTTTAAAGAGGTGATCATGTCAAAACGAGGCCATTAGGTCGGGCTGTAGTCCTTATCTAAAGAGGGAGTTGACAGAGGCACCAGGGATGGCGGTGCGCACGCGCGGGAAAGGCCACGTGAGGACGCAGGGTGAAGGAGGCCCTCTGCAGGCTGCGGAGAGAGGCCTCAGGAGAAACCCGTCCTGCCACCCCATGGCTCTGGACTTCCAGCCTCCAGAACCTCAAGAAAATAACTTCTGGTGTTTAAGCCACTAAGTCTGCTGCCCTGTGTCGTTGGTTCCCTGGCAAATGCATGTGGTCGTGGTAATGGTGATGGCGGTGCTTGGTTCACAGCTGTGTCGTTCCCTACAGTTAGCTCCCACGTGTGCTTTGTGTCTGCCTCCCCCACCTGATGGTGCATCCGGGGTGGGAGCAGGGGCCTTCCCCCCTAATCCGGGACAGTCACCCCAGCGCCTAGGGCGGCGCCTGAGCCAGGAGATCCTGAGTCTTTTTATCTGGGGGCTGCAAACTCTGGTACGTGGGACAGTGTAAGAAATAATAAGGTAGCAAGTTAGAACCAGAAGGTTTTCCAAAAGCATATTTTAGCGGTGGAAAAATGACCTTCACTGTATTAGAGGGCTATTTGGAAAAAGAGGCCTTAAAAAAAAAAAGTAGTTCTGCAAATAAGGAGGTTGAGCCATTATTTCAGCTTCGTTTCATGGCTTTGTCAAAATAAACTCATCCTTGGAAAACACCTTCCCCAAGGGCAAGGCCCTGTGGTGAGTGGCTCCGGGCATGCAGTCGGGTTCGACTGTGTACTAAATAAACGGAAACATTTCAAATCCTCCTTCGTTTCTTCTTAGAGCATTTTGAATTGGTTTTAACATTCTCTAATATTTAGCCCAATATCAGTTATTCCACAGAGAAGGTACAATATTTCGCCTGTTCTTTCCTCCTCAACAGTTGCATGGATGGTCTTGAGTCAGGTCTGGACTTGTTCCTGTTTTTGACCTTAGAGTGCCCTTAAACGGGAAGATTCACAACCTAGCTCCGTGGCACTGGCACCACCTTGTGTCAGAAACGTGGTACCACACCCACTGAAGGCTGGCTGGCCAAGAACCAGCCTGCCCGCCCTGCAACCCGGTCAAGTTTAAGTGGCCCAAATGCTGTACACAAATCAAATGGTGATATCACTGCTGGGCAAGCTTGTAGTGACTCATTTTGTTCTGAAGTGACTTTGTCTCCATGTTTAGTGCTCTTGGTGTAGTTCAAGTACAGAAACAAATTCTTACTATTTAACTACAAAGGCTTTTGGAGTTAGTTTGTAGTTCTTACCAGATTGATGGCCTGATCGTTTTCTGGCCCCTGTTTTTTCTGGCCCTGCTCTTGTCTCCTTAGCTCGCCTTTCGGAGCCTTAGAACGCCCGAGGCCGAGCTGTCGGCTGTGTGGTTGCCTCCGAGCGGCAGGTTGCCCGCTCCTCCCAGAGGCCATCTGGCGTGCTGGGGGCCCAGCTGGCCCCTTCTGCTGCGTGCCCAGGTTCTTGGCACCAGGGTTGTGGCGTGAGCTCATGGGATCATCTTCCTCTGTGCCTCCGGCCTTGTGTTTCAGGACCTGAGAACAGGAGAAGCTTGGAGTTGTCTTTGTTTTTCTCCTGTAAGTTCCTTTGACTTTCCCCTCAGGGACTCTGTTTAGGAACTTGGGAGGCCTCTGGATAGAAAGTCACCTCATTTCATAACCTTTGGAGGAAAGAACACATTTGAGAAGAATGGGCTATTAATATTTCGACATTGCCTCCCTTCCTCTCCCGCTGCCCTTCTGAATCTGCTTCCCAGGCTCCCCCCACCTGGCCTTTCCTGGGCCACCAGCCAGCCTCCTGGGGCCAGAGGTCGCTCTGCCATTCTGCTGCAAACTGCTCGTCTGCGCCTGAGCCCAGTGCTGAGCACACCTCACTCATGTGACCCGGCTCCCCTCCTGCGGCAGCAGGCGAGGTGCACAGTGCTGCCCTCCTTGTTGTTTGGTCAGCTTTCTGCCCACCGGTCGTTTCCTGCGAGGAACGCTGGGCCGACAGCCAGCCACGCGCACTGCATGATATTTTAGATGCAATCAGTGCCACCAAGTTTTTAATATTCAGTTCTAAAATGCCGAGTGAAAAGGTTGTAACTCATGTATTCTACTGTGAAACTGATGGTTTAGACATCCTTGATAATCACCATTTCAAGCAAAAAATGATAAACATAGTGTACCACAAAAGAGCCAATTATTTTTTATAAGTAGTTTACATGAGACAGGATTTCTGTTATCATTTCTTACCACTTTGGTTTGTATGGCTGAGGCTGAAGTGTGCTTATCTTGTTTTGTTTTTAATAAAACCTTTTTATTAAAAAATTTCAAGTTTCTAGACAAATAGAAAGCATGGGGCCCTGAGCTGTTAGGCACTTTCGCCTGGATGCACCAGTTCTTAACATTCAGCCGAGTGTGCTTCTGCTTGCACGGGCCCCCTCCCTGTCTCTCATTTCATGGGACTTGTGGAGAATAAGTTGTAGACACTGCGACCTTTTCTCTGAAATACTCCAGAACAAGAGCATTCTCTTACATAAGCCACAGGTTTTGTGGTTTGGGGGGTGGGGGGTTAAAAATAATTTTAGAGTCGGAGCACGTTGGGAGAACTTTTAAAAGTCATTCGCTCATTCCTCTGCTCTTTGCAGGTAAATTCTTTGACAGAACAAAACTGATACTTTCCGAGAGTGATAAACTTGTTCCTACAGGGACCAGGCCTTGGCACGAATGTGTGAATTAGAAGGCACAGGACAGTTTTCATGGGCGTATGTGCGCCCCATGTACACAAATACACCAACGCCATCCAAACAGAACCGTGCCCGAGGGCCGCGATCGTCCCTTGGGTCACAGCCGTGACCCCTGGGTCGATCTGCAAGGCTCCCATAGGGTGGAATTCCGCAGCCTCCTTTAGAAGCACCTGATACAGAATTCTCCTTTAAGTCTAATTAAATGCTCTGTTGAGATTTATGTGAGTCAGCAACGTGCAGTGGTTAAAAATGTGAATTCTAGCCTGCTTGGGTTTGAGTCTGTTTCCACTGTTTACTAGGATCTGGGAGAAAAAAATTACCTAAGTTCTCCTCATTTGCACAATCATAGTACCTACCACTCAGAGCTGATGTGACCAGCAAGTGGATTTGAATATTTAAAGCCTTTAAAACAGCCTCGAAGACACACTAGACATTGGCATCACTGTCTTCTGTCCATGCAGAGCGGCGGGGAAGTTGTTCTCGGGTCCTTACAGGCCGAGATCGGAAGGGGTCTGGGTGAGCTGGGGGGGCTGTTCTTTCTGGAAGTCTCAGAGGAGGTGTCCGCTCCTAAGCAGAAAGCTCTGCTGCCAGCCCCGTTTCCTGCTTAACTTGTAGGGCTTCTCTTCCACTGCTGAGAGTCCACTGGTCTTTCGGAGGCTGTCGGTTGAATAGATGGGCCCGAGGGGTCCCGGGCAAGTTATGTGGCTGTGTCCTCGCCTGCAAAGTGGAGACCCCAGAAGCACGCACCACCTAAGGTTGCTGTGAGGATTGCGCGGGTGCTGTGCATCCGGGGCTGGAACGGCGCCTGGCCCATGGCGAGTACAGGACACTGCCCGCCGGCCTCTGGGTGGGGCGTGCAGTTGTGCTGTCTACACTTGTGGCCCGAACTTCCTTATCACCAGCACTCCTTAGGGGGGTTTCTTCCTCTTTGTGTACAGCTCTAAGATACTTCTAATTCTCTCAGCCTTTTGTAAAGTTTTTAACAAAAGGGGTCATTTTGCAACTGGGGCAGGGGGGCGGGGACAGGGCAGGAGGCAGTCTAGGGGGTTATGGGAGGAGAAGAGATGGAGGTAGGGGAGGGCAGGGGGGGTGAGGGGGAGCCATGGACTGGTGTCTTGGAAGAGGGCTAGTAACGGCAGGATTTGGGGCAGGGGCTGGGCGTGGAGGGGTGAGTGGGAAATGCGATTGGTGGTTCCAAGGTAAGTCATTTGGGAGGAGTAGGGGGATAGCAGAAGGAAGCTGCGGACGGAAGGGTGGGAGGTGGTAAGGCACTGTCAGGAATCTCTCCTGCGTGTGTTGATGAGCCCGCCGCCTTCAGCCTCCAGGCAGACACTGTCCCTCCCCTTCACAGGTGTGGGGACAGAGGCACAGAGGAGCGAGCTGACACCGTAGTTAGCTCCCCGGTGACTGACCTTTCTCTTTCTCACTCCTTCCTCCTTTCTTTTCATTCTCTAGAACTTTTGGATTTTGGCCTAGGGGAAGGCTTGCATTTACCAATCAATGCGAACACTTCTTCCTTCTCTCCCTGGTTTACTCATCTGCCTTTTACTTTCCCCAGAAAGCGTCTTTTATCCTCTCAAGGCGATATTCACCGAGTGACTTTGTCTGCTAGGTGGCATCTGCTCTGGCATAACCTAGAGCAGGACTGCCAACCATTTCCGTCCCCGGGCCCATGCAAACCGATGACTGGAGTTCTGCAGCACCGTTTTATATCGCTTGCTGATCTCATAAAAACTAGGTGTGGTTTTGATTCGTTCACACCAGACAGCTAGTGTGCTGTTGGCTGTTGTCATTTTTTTTAATTTGGCTGTCAAAGAGGAAAGGGGGCAGTGTTTTAAAAATTCCTGCAGCACACCAGGTGAAAAGCGCTGACCCAGAGAAATGGCACGTGCCTGTTCAGAGTTCATGCTCTAAAAATCTCGTCCACTTTTTCCCCAGAGAGATTGGAACTATCGTCCGGTCACTGGGATGCTGCCCCAGCGAGGGAGAGCTGCACGAGCTGATCGCGGAGGTGAGTGGGGCCCAGGGAGTTTCGTTCAGCAGACTCCACGCGACTCCTGCTCCTCAGAACGGAGAGAAAGGTTCCCTACCCGAAAATAAAAATGCCCTCAGCTGCTGGATGTGCCCATGAAAACATGGGGGCCGCTTGTGAACTACCCAGCCAGCAGGTTCTGAAAAACCGCTACCAGATCTCGGGGAAATGGATCAAGTAAGACCCCCCTTTAGATACTACACTCTCCAAAATGAGTTGAAAAAGGCCAGTAGCCACAGGGACGGACTGTATGCAGAAAGAGGCGTGGCAGGAGACAGAGGATGAGTAACGTCAGTCCAAAGGGGATAGAAATAGAAGTAGGGACTGTGAAGAATTTGGAAATAAAACCAACTTTCAGAAGGAGTAAACATGATATAATAACGAGAACTAACTTGGCATTGGCCAGGCAGTCTGAGAATTTTCACAAAACGACCGTTCACAGTAGTGCAGGTGAGTTTCTGGAGACCTGTCCCACACAGCGGTGCTTCTGGCCCAAGGCCAGGCGGCTCCACAGCTGTTTGGTTTCCCAGGGAAGCGTCTGATCTCGTTTCAAGTGCAGCTTTCAGTTCAGCAAAGCAGAGTCCTGAAGGTAAAGAAGCTGCCTGGGCAACCACCAGAAGAAGGGCTTCTTCAGGAATGCTTGCCTAGGTATGTGGGTTCAGGTGGAAGCCAATGACAACAAAGAGAACAAGGCAAGGAGGTGGGAATTTGTTTCTTTGTTCCTCGCACACAGCGCAGCCCTGGGAGTGTCAGTTTCTCCGCGGTGCCACGGATTCAAAGTTTGCTCCGAAGGCAAGTGTGCTAACACACAGGGGATGTGTTTTGAGTCCTACAGCACTGTCCGAAGCCGAGGAATGGAAGATGATCCTATTGCCCCTTGGAAACGAAAAAGCAGTACCAACTTCTCATTAGCATTTAAAAATATTCAATGAGGCAGGAAATCTTTACATGGTTTTTTCATTGGGAGGCCCGGTAAAGCTAATTTTGCCAAGAGTAGAGGAAGATGCACTGGTTTGAATAGAATTTCTTTTTAAAATGTAAAGATATGTTCAATGTAAAAATGAACAATGGCATTTAAAAATTAATGTGGTTTTTTAACATTTTTTTATTTTATTGATTATGCCATTACATTTGTTCTATTCCCCCCATTCATTCCCCTCCACACCCCTCCCCCACCATTCCCTCTCCTTTAGTTCATGAACACGTGTCTCAAGTTCTTTAGATTCTATATTTCCCCTACTATTCTTACCCTCCCCCCATCTATTCTCTATCTATGGTCTATGCTACTTATTTTCTGTACCTTCTCCCCCCTTCTCCTTCTCCAACTCCCCTGTTGCTAACCCTCCATGTGATCTTCATTTCTATGGTTCACTCCTGATCCAGCTGTCCTCTTAGTTTGCTTTTGTTTTAGGTGTGGTTGTTAATAAATGTGAGTTTGCTGTCCTTTCACTGTTCATCTTTTTTTTTATCTTCTTTTTCTTAGATAAGTCCCTTTAACATTTCATATAATAAGGGCTTGGTGATGATGAACTCCTTGAACTTGATCTTATCTGAGAAGCACTTTATCTGCCCTTCCATTCTAAGTGAAAGCTTTGCTGGAGAGATCAATCTTGGATGTAGGTCTTTGGTTTTCATGACTTGGAATACTTCTTTCCAGCCCCTTCTTGCCTGTAAGGTCTCTTTTGAGAAATTCACTGACAGTCTGATGGGAACTCCTTTGTAGGTGACTGTCCCCTTATCTCTTGCTGCTTCTAGGATTCTCTCCTTCATTTTAATCTTGGCTAATATAATGGTGATGTGCCTTGGTATGTTCCTTCTTGGGTCCGACTTCTTTGGGATTCTCTGAGCTTCCTGGATTTCCTGGAAGTCTATTTCCTTTGCCAGATTGGGGAAATTCTCCTTTATTATTTGTTCAAATAAGTGTTCCACTTGTGGCTGTTCCTCTTCCCCTTCTGGTACCCCTATAATTCGGATGTTGGAACGTTTAAAGGTGTCCTGGAGGTTCCTTAGCCTCTCTTCATTTTTTTGAATTCTTGTTTCTTCATCCTTTTCTGTTTGGTCATTTTTTTCTTCCTTCTGGTCCACTCCTTTGATTTGAGTCCCAGTTTCCTTTCCATCACAATTGGTTTCCTGTGTATTTCCCTTCATTTCAATTAGTTTAGCCTTCATATGTTCCTCTAATTTGTGGCTAAAATCAGCCAGTTCTGTGAGCATCCTGATCACCAGTGTTTTGAATTGTGCCTCTGATAGGTTGGCAATTTCTTGTTCACTTAGATTTATGGGCTCTGGGGCTCTGAGTTGTTCTTGAGCCATGTTTTGATCTGTTCGGACTGTTACGTTTGAGGAGAGGAGCCTTAGGTGTTCACCAGGGCGGGCCCCCCAGGTCGCTGGTTTGTGATGCTGTATGTGGGGGCAAGGTCAGAGAGAGAGCAATGGCGGTCCTCACTGCTCGCCCCCGGCCTTTTTATCTGCGCGCAAATGTGCGACCGCGGTCAGCCCACCGCCTTGCGCTGGGGCCTGTGAAGTCTGTCTCAATGCTTGTCTCTTCGCTGGTTTATCTGTATGCAAATGCGCGACCACAGACAGCCAGCTGCGCCACGCCTTCCCTGGGTTCGACTGTAGCTACCCTGCACCCGGAATCTGTGCCCTTGGCTGCTTGTGCACTGCAGGGGTCAGGGGATCTCTTTTACCTGACCCTCTCTGCTGCTGGCTCCGCCCCTCTCACCGGTTTAGCTGAGCGGTTCACTATTTTCAAACTCCATATTGTTCGATTTTCTGTGGCTTAACTGCATTTATTGTTGTTAAAACTTTGTTGTTTTTAGGTTTGGTTGTGCGAGGAGGCAAAGTGTTCCCACCTATGCCTCCATCTTGGTGGAAGTCCTAAAAATTAATGTGTTATATATGTGGTTTGGAATATATCTTTGGCCCTAGCGAGTTTATGTACTCAATTTGACCAGAGTTCTCTTGGGGAGTTTTCTCATTATGGAGAGCGAAGACCACTGTTTATTCATCACTACATTCAAACCTGTATCGTGTAACCATGACATAATTGCCTAAACTAAATCTCCACTCAGGAGGAAGCTTGTCCTCCCATCTCACTGCAACGGAATTGTAAACGGTTGTTTTTGGCACAGGTGGGTGGAAGGGTACCCTAGTAGTGACTGTGACCCCAACAGTCACTGCCTTTGTCAAATGGGAGAGCACGCCACTGTGGGTAGGAGGGATGCGTGTGCCTAGGTGGAGAGAAGATGACACGGAAGGAAGGGCGTGGACCACTTGGGGTGGCTGGAGCCCTGTGAGGCCCCCACCACAGAGAATGAAATGGGGAGATGGGTGGCCTGACAGCCACTGATTCCCCCGCTGCTCCGAGCTGCAGAGACTCCAAGTTGGGAGGGCAGTTGTCAATGACCTGACTTCACCACCCATTGATTCTTGAAGTCTCTGACGGTCCAGCCAAGAGACGATTCAGTCTTTCTCTCTCTCTCTTTTTTTTTGTGGTACTCCCAATAATAAGAAAGAGACTTAAACTTCAAAGAATCACATATCCTGATTTTTGCACAATAGCCTCTGGACTGTATGCAGTAAGTAATTTTTCTAAAATAGGCAGATTAACATTTTTTATATTTTACATTTGAAATACGTTAACGGTTTTCATATTTTTACTACAAAATAGTTAAAAATTCACTTGCATGTCTTATTTGGTGACCTGGAACTAGTTGAAATGTTGGCACTTTAGAAACCATCTCAAGTACTGAGATCATCGTGCTTTTGTGGAGCATGAAATGGTTCAGTTTGCTGGCTGATTGTTGGTCACTGAGGAGGAATGTGTTTTCACTGTGTGTTTTATGGCACCTGTTCAGTGAGCTTAGCATTAAAATAAATGATGCTCTAATGAGAGGAGAGATGGTCTGATGCTTTCACTGCAGGAATGGGAGCAGAGCACTCTGGGCTCTGAGAGCCAAAACACCTGACCGATGCTGAGGACTGAGATAGGCAGGCACTGCACCCCTGTGCAAATTTGCTCAGATGCAAAACCAATAAAGAAAATGGACTTTTACCAAAGTAGAGTAAGAAGCAGTATTTGCCTCATGCTCTGAGTCTTAGATAAATGTTAATATGCTTTAATAGCCCACAGTATTTACCTGTTTCCTGAGACTCCCCGACACTGGGGAAGAGGACGCAAGGAGACCTGAGTGTCTGAAGGCGCTGTGGTTGCCTCATGGAGGCGGGGCCTCTGCGTGTGGCGGGGAGGGCATTCTTCTTCTTCAGGGTGCCCATGCCCATAATTCTGTGGAGGAGGAGAAGCTGGGTGGGTGTACCAGGGCTTTGGTCTTCCTGGGAAACATGCACTTACGCTATTAAGGTGAGTTCAGTGTCAAGGGTACTCGAAGGCCACTCTGGGGCATCTCCCTGCAACAGCTCTTTATTACACTTGCATTCATAAAGGCTGCCTCGGGACTTCCCCTCATGACCCCCTTTCCAGCACAGCAGACCTTTTCTTAGGTGGATCAAACTAGGTTATAACATAATATTGCCTCATTCATGTTTGGAATGACAGATATGTTTGTTTCTGCCCTTTGGAGAGGAGGGGCTGGCTGTTGCTCCCCTTCTGTCATTCCAGGGAGGCGGGTGGGGAGCCAGCAGCCATGGAGGCCGCGCTGCTATCGCTCAGGCCCTGCCCACTGGGCAGGGGTCCGGGGTGAGGGACAGGCTAGTGGGTCCTCCCAGCAGTTTAAACACCCTTCCTGCTGCATTTTCTGGTTCGGAGGCAGGACCAAACTTCAGTAGATGCGGTTCAGTTCAGCACGGTGAGTCAAGGAGGACGGGTCTGGAATGTTAGCACCAGAAGTTCATTCTTTCAGGAGGAGGTAACTTGCACGGCCTAGAGCCCGAAGTGCGAACACAACTGATAGAGACACTGGTCACCGTAACAGACTCTCAAGGTTCCCGAGGCACCTTCCTGTCAACCCAGGTAACCT